GGTTGCAGGTGGCAATGGAAGTGGAAATCGTCTCGATCAACTCTCTTTCCCAACATACGTATTCGTCGATCGAGATCATTCAGTGTACGTATCTGAATGGGACAATCATCGTGTGATGAAATGGATGGAAGGTGCAAAACAAGGCATTGTCGTGGCTGGTGGTCAAGGAAAAGGAAATGATCTTACACAATTGTCATCTCCTGAAGGAGTCGTTGTCGATCAATTGGGCACTGTCTATGTGGCTGATAAAGGGAATGATCGAATCATGCGTTGGCCTAAAGGAGCCACACAAGGAAGTGTCATTGTTGGTGGAAATGGTCGTGGAGAACAATCGAACCAACTCCATTGGCCCGTCGGTTTGTCATTCGATCGATACGGGAATCTCTATGTTGTCGATTGGAGAAATCGTCGAGTACAAAATTCAGTATTGATTCTGATGTATAATAGTTGTTGCCAGTAGATCCCGATAGAGCCTAAGTGAGGTGGCATTTGACTAGGATGAGTGTGAATCAGTATAGGAGTTAAACCTTTGTTGACAAAGTTCATAGCTGAGGGAAATGCAAATAAATTCAACTCTTTTCAGTCCCAGAGCATAAAAAAGCTACACATATTTTATAGTTATTTTTCATTACATAATTTATAAAAACTAGTACTTAATTCCTTGGAATGAAACAATAATGAATGCTCTAGAATTCTCCCGAACTAGCTGTAGAGGAAATATAGAGTGGTTTATTGTGAAAGTTTCGATTGATGAGTAGAGCTGATAAAAAAGAGACAGCAGAACTTTCTATTCATTGTTCAGAAAGTAAAAGGAAATTTTAGAAACGTTAGTGAACAAATCGTCATTAACTCAACTGTTAGGACATATGTATGGCGTTGTGTCTAAAAGAAGATGCTGATATTACAGTGAGACAGCTTGTTCAGTATTTAGTAGCATAATGTTTAGTTTTTGTGACATTTCTCTGCATGTAAAAAAATAAAAATTGTTTTCTGTTGTTTCATGAAAAACTTGCATACGTTTTGAAATTAATAAGCTTTACGAATGCCAAATTTCTGCTGAAATGCGACCAAAGTGAGTAAAACTTATACGAAGAACCACATACGAGCGCGCGCAAGTTATTTATGATGAATGTCCTTGTCTAAAATAAGCGAATTCAACAGCCTACTTGAATTAAGTTTAGCAGAAATAGTTTGGGACTAAAAGGATTAAGATGGCTATAACTTTGTTTATAAGTAAAACCAAACATGATAACTATCAACTGCAGATATAGCTTTCAATCACAGTTATATATATGAACTGAGGTTATAACTATCATTCATTTTAACTTGATTAACGTTTAAATTAATTGAATAGTTTTATTTAAGTGAAATTAATAATTATTTTGATTTAATTGAGATGCATGATAGATTAAATTAAAGCATATGTTGCCTGTGGATGTTTTATTGCAGAAACTAGTATTTATGCATTAATCTTTGCGACGCTTTTTATGTATTCATTTACAAGTTAAATATTTTTATATTTACGCGTCGACTAACAATGCAATGGTGTATTTTTCCCTAAGAAACAGCACAGTCCTTATTTAACGTTAACAGCTGCGCATGAAACGAACAAATCGCAATCATTTGTATCGAAGATATACATATAGATTGAACATGATTTAAAACAAATAATGCTCGTCGATGTGACTCGCTTTATCTTCGACTAAATATTCGGCTCTTTTGGTATTTTATACTGCTTTACAGCTCTCAACAAAGCGATTATCCAATATTTGAAAAAGTATGTGCGTGGATGCTGATACTAGTGTCAGTCTCCTGGTGCATGATGGTATGTGTGTCCATGTAAGAATTTTTGTCATAAACTCATCTCATCAAACTGGTATCCACACATCGATACTCAACAGAAATCTAAATGAACTACACACGCAGCAGCAGTATCCACACACACTAGACAAAAGAGATTATATTCAATTTACTGAAAGGATCACGAAACAACGTTCATCCGTGACACAAGAGTAAAAACGCTTCATACTCCTTGAAAATTCTGCTAAAAGTCCTTATGGTTACTAGCATATCAACTGACATTGTCGTCTGCCAGAGCGTCCACTATAAAAACATGAGTTCAGCTGAACTTCTAGCTTCAAATAAATTATACTAGATCTGATATGTAATCGAAATGTGCCTCATTAGTGACGCTCCTACTAAAAGTATCCATAAGATTAGACAGCTAATTTCAATATACGTGAATACATTCGAGCATGTGAATGAACACAGACAAGGACATATATCAAACAGAAAAATTCATTTTATTTCATTCAATTTTGCTTCCGATAGAGTGAATA